CTTCTTTATAGGACAATCTTGGGCCAATTGTACCATTCTACATTCTAGTCAAGGTTCAGATTTACAAGGGAAGATATAAACTGACAACCATACTAGAAGAACACAACCTGACGTAGAATTCACATTCTGCAGGTATTGCTGCACTAACCTGAGACTTGTTGTGGACTGTAATGCATGAGCACTTGAAAATCGTTCGAGACTTGCAGTGTACCTCATCCCCTTTTCTGCTACAGGATATCCACATTAGCTAACTGACCTCATGAAACTCCAATCTTTGCCACTGGTGGGAACTACTGAGCTCTCACCAACATCACAGAGGATCTACTAATTTGCAAAAAAGAAAACACAATGATCTTAAATGAGTTGAGCTTTAATCTAAGCTCCTCGCAAAGACTCTTCCAGAGATGAAACATGCTTAAAATGATCAATTTTCCTTCTTCAACTTTCAAGGGAACATTATTCTCATGTGGAACTAGAACTCAGAATAGCTTTGTGGAGCTGGAAGAACACAGCAGGCGAGGCAGCAGAGGAGCAGGAAAGTTGACATTTCAGGTAAAATCAACAATGGTTGCACATTGCACTACCTGCTAACCAAATCAATACAAATTACAGTTGCAATCAAACACAGCACCATTCTGCCAAGAAGAATGGATAGCGAAGTAAAACAACCTAAAGCATACCTGTTGAAGAATGTGAATAGCTATGCATGACTGACAGCCTTTATTTAGACAATTCACTAAACAACCACTACCATATTGCTACAGATGTTATAATAGGCCTTACTTTGTACTTTTGTTTGCTTCATGACAACAGCATATCCAAAAAGCACAACAGCAGTCCTTTTCAAACATTTTCACGAAAGACTATTTTTAAATAATAGCAGAGTTCTATTCACCCACTAGGTTACTGAGGCACATAGTATTTGTTGGCAAAAAATATTGAACAGAGGCGCTTATATTTCTCATGCAAGTTTACTGAAGTTACTATAATTGGAAACAATGCCTCTTTTTAAACACATAATCAAATACGTTTTATTCTATATGTATTAGGATACTGCAAGGTTAGGCGTATCAAATTTCACAAGACAATAAGCGCAGATACCATCAGCCCTTAGCTGGGTGGAGAAGTTCTCATGGCACATTTTAGAGAAGAACTGAGAAACTTTCTCCAGTATCTTTACCAATATTTATCCCTCAACCAACATCAGACAGATTATCTGGTCACTATCACCACCTGTATCCTGCCATCCCGCTGCCAACCCCCATCCCCAAAATGTTGCTTGTGGGAATTTGCTACACATAGATTTCCTGCCATGTTTTCTGCATTACAACACAGGGACTAAGCTTCAAAAATGTGTCATTGATGAGTGTTTTGAGATCTTAAATGCAAATTCTCTCTTCACTGTGGCCAGTGTTGATTTTTCTAAATGGTTGATATATAACCACTTGCATTTGTGCACTTAGAGAACAATTTATTCGTGTGTAAATGATTGCTACTGCTGAAAAAGACATTTAATTGAAGCTTTTCATCTTGCACTCATCAGGAAATTTGCAAGAATACCACCTTAAAGGGAAACCCAACATTTATACTGTCTGAAAGGAGACTGCTCACTGATAGACTATTTCCACCTCCTAACAAATCAGAATTCAGAATTCTCCTCACAATTATAAATGTCGGTTTTTTCTTTAAATAGGTATCCTTGTGAATTGACCTAAATGTGCTACTTGAAAAATGTTTCTATTTTGAGCAATACTCAAGTAAAAATAATTCACTGCTATGGAGGTTACTTCATGAAAGTTTAAAGCAGTTATGTACGTAATGCTTTAAAGTCAGCTATGCCTGCACAAATTGAACCAGGACTTCTTGGAAACTAAAGGGAGGTGAGCGAAAAAGATGGAAATGCATACTTGGCATCAATATTAGAAATGCACCAATTGATGGGAAAGGAATGCTTCTGCAACTCTTGTCCTACTCCAGTCCTTTTCACACATGACTTGCCTGTCTAACATTCTCAAACTGGGACCAAAATCAGTCCACTTTCATTTTGCAAAGCCAAGCTCAAAAGCAGCAGAATGGAGGTTGCTCAAATTGATTAATCTTGCAGCCATTTTCTATCCCTTATTCTGTGCTGATTCTATATGTAGTCCCAGAAAGCTACCCAAATGCATTGCACTACAGTCACTTAAAAACAGCTCCTTCCCAAGGTACAAGTGTTATCACAAAAGGAAGTCTACAAAGTAAGCATGAACTCAGAATAACAGAACACAACGCAACTTAGACAAACCATGGAGCCCACCAGAAATGGTATATCATCTGAAGTTCACCTTCAGATCATTTTGTGTTTGCTTTACTTTGAAAATTAGACCATTCCTGACTACTCTCACTCATCTGGCAAGCTTGGCACTTCCAAAAAAACTTCACTATTTATAAAACTACATATGACAAAGGATTCAATCTTCCCTTCCGATGGTCTTCTGAATTTCTCCATGAGATCTCATGTTGTACTTATATATTTAGAAACAAATGTAAACATTATAACAATCTATTCCAATTCATTTATAAATGACCAATCTGAAGCTTGATGAATTATCTGCCTCTGTCAGCAATGTTCAAGATTACAAAAGCAATTCTGCAAAATACTAATGGTAAAGAAAAGTTTTTCTAACATGACCCTGCTGCAACACATTTCTCTTTCAGATTTTCAAGTAAATCCTGCTCATAAACACAAAAATATTTTGTAGAGAATGGGACATCAAAATCTTCTGTTCCACTGTGGCAAGCAAAACATAATTGTTCCTTTAAAAGATCTTAAATTCTAAAAATGGAAAGATGTTGAGGAATAGGAAAGAAAGAAAAGTGAGAAGTGGAGCCAAACATTTTCCACTGCTCCATCATCAAAATACAGCTAACCTCAATTATACAAACATGGCATCAATCAAACACACCAAGTGAGTAGTGTGGACTGAAAAATTTAGTTCTAAATGCAGACTGACTATATTTTCATACTTACTAACAAATACCTGGTAAAAATTGCCTCAATTGTTTACCTTTTATTATAAAGCATCTTTCACTAAAGTGAATGTAAGCTCAAGAGTGTTATTGAAAGAATTACAGAATCAAGGTATTTTCAAAATATTTTTAATCTTTTGCTTATTAAGATGCTGGCAGGCTTATTGCATTTTTTTACTCGTTATTGCAACTGAACAGCTGACTGATAGCAGAGTGGAAAATAAACCCAACCGACATCTCCCTAGTGTTTTACGTAGATTTCACTTTATGAACTATGACACAATTTGTTGTTCCCAGCTACACAACTTGAGTTTCAGTGCTGCATACAACAATAGCAATGGTTCGAATAGGTGCATTTTACAAAATGAATGCTCCTCCATCGATGGGCTTCTAGACCCTTAAATACTAGTGCAATAATAATTTAGCTGACACAAAGTTCATTATTTAGCAATGACATCCTTTATGATTATGGATTAAATGCGGTTACAAAACAAGTTCCAGAAGGAGCTCATTATCATTTGGCAGGTAAGCGCTGTACTTTTGGGCTAATGTCATTTGCCTACATACTGCTTTCACATTAGTCACTGATTGAAGCATCCATGCCAGAGTAGCACCTCCAGTTTAAAAAATAAACAAAGATACATTGAAACCATGGATTAATTATCAATGCATAAACTGATAACACATTGTTGAAAATACATGTACTTAAAACTCATGTACATGCAGTTCTTCAAGGCAAGTTAAACAGTGAGCCTAGTAAGTGTGGAACATGGTGCCATATCATGGACAATAATTAACTTTTCCAAAGCAGTCAAGAATATTCAGGTTTCAACAAGAAATTGAAGGTTATCAATGGATACTGGAACTCACCTATACCAACACTGCAGTACTCCAAATTTCACCACAGGCACAGGACGTAAAGAGTTATCACTGAGATAAAGATCTATCATTTTTAAAACAGGATCCCAGGCCGCACAAAACAGTTATGATGTATAAACGGAGACAAAAATCAAACTTTAAATAAGCAATTGTCAAAGACCTTATCCAGAAATAAGTTTCAAGGTCAAAGGAAGTAACATTCCGTCATGTATAATTAATTATATTTGTTATTTAAGAACTGTAATATGTGTAATATAACAGCAAAAAAAATAACAACTCTGAGAAGATCGCCCACAAGGTTGGGCAATGATGATAATTTGGCAGGACTGACTTAATAAACTTTCCAGTCTCAACTTAGCTGTCATCAGTCAATAATTGTTCAAGAGAGGCCAACAATTTTCTCATCAGGAGGGAACAAAATAAGAGTGAATTCGGTCTCACTCATCCTGTCATAGGCAGTTACAGTGAACACAATGTTCCCTGCCTGAGGCCAATGAATAGATAAAATGCCCTAATAGTCTGCCAGCATCCATTTTTTACTGAACACAAGGAGGGATAGCTGCTTTCAAAGGTAACTCTATGGCAAACTGCAGAGTCAGGAACAAGTACCACAAGATCACCAACAGTAAAACTGGCCCATCTATGAACCCCATCAAACGGATCCTCAACAACATTGCTATAAATGTGAGTTTGAGTTATACACGTACATTCAAATTTTAATGTTTAAGGCATCTCATAAACATGGACAGATTTAAGTACAATCCACACCACTCGTAGTAGGTATGCTCCTTAAAACGTCTGTTATACCCGGCAGCCAATATACTGTAATGGAGATCTAGTGTTTGTACTGTTTGGTGCTCCTTTAGTATTGATGTCGAATGTAACCATCCGTAGCAATCGTGCAAACATCCTGGAACTCACAGGCTGTTCCTGCCCAAAACAAACAGGGCACTTGTACAACCAAGAACATTGGGATCAACATTAAGGCAAATAACAGTTGTCACTTTTTGATCAACAGAAGTGCCTATCCCATTTCAATTGTTTGAAAATAAGCAGTCTTCTGCAAAAGGCGCTTAAGTACTTCAGTTAAATGTTAAGCAGTCATTTTGTACCTGTGGTGTTCGGAGCTCCTGAGATGGTTTCGTAACAGCTGAGCCATTAGCAGCAGAGTCTTTTGTTGAGCTGCGCATTAATGAAGAATTAGCAGCAGTCCCTGTTGAACACGGCTCTTTCTTGCACTCAACCTTTTGGTCACTGTTCTTCTCCTTCCCTGGCGTGGCCTCTTTTCCTTTGTGTTTCTGGATAGATTCTTTCTCTCTCAAAAGCTTGCTGGAACCATTCAAAACTGAGGAAAAATACAAATGCGGAACTCATGTTATAAGCAAATCATACATAAATTTAAAACCATAACAGTCTTAAAGCTTAAATTAAACATTGCTTCACCTGGCCCAGATAAGAAAGGAGAGTTACTCTATCCAAACAAAACAATATTTTTTAAGCTCAATTTTAAAATTAGATGTCACCAATTGAACGAGCCTTTGGAGCAGCACCAACTCCTCAGGCATTCCTGCCCTCGCAAACTATTTAGCTCTCCTGTCTTTTGTACATGCCATTTCCTCTTTATGCCACTGCTGCTAGCACAACCTTTAGCCACTTCAGCTCCTTCCAACTCTCCCATTTCTCAATCTGCCTTAAATGCTACCTCAAAGCCTATCTAATAACCAAGGGTTAAATTCCCTCTCTTATTTCTCTTAATACCACAGTATCACATAAGTATTGCAGTGCAGAACTTGGACCATTGTGTCTGCATTGGCTCATTAAATGAGTATCATTACAAAGTGCCTTCTGCATTTTCCCTATGCCTATGCACATTTTCTAATCTAAATACTGGGCAATATCAATACCTCAATTGACCCCGTCTCCATCACACTTCCAGGCAGTGCATTTCTTATCCTAACTACTCACTACTTGGTGAAAAAGATTTTCCTCACTTCACCCTTGCTTCTTTCGCAAATCACTTTAAATCTATGCCTTCTTGTTTTTGTTCCTTTATGAGTGGGAACAGCTTCTCCCCATCTACTCTGTTCAGTGCATTCATGATTTTGAAAACCTCGATCAGACCTCCTCTTAACTTTCTTCTCTCCAAGAGAAAAATTACAACTTTTTCAATCTATCCTCATGACCCAAGTTCCCTGGAACCATTCTTGCAAACCACTTCTGCAAACGCATTGGAGAGTGTGCATTCTTCCTATGATGAGGCGCCCAAAACTGTACGCAATACTCTAGCAGAGGTCTAACAAGTGTATTAACAAGTTCAACAGCATTTCCCTGTCTTGCACTCTATACCCCTATTAATAAAGCCAAAGACATTTGTATGCTCTACTCACTCTAACCATCCTTCCACTTTCAACGATCCATGCACATAAGCACTCAGGTCCCTCTGCTCCAGCACCCTTCTTAGAATTCTACCCCTTTCAATGTTCTTGCTACCAAAATACATCACTTCTCACATCTCTGCATTGAAACCCATTTGCCAATTCCACCAACCTGCCTATGTCCTTCAGTAGTTCTACACAGTCCTCCACTCAGTTTACAATTTTTCCAAGTTCTGTGTCATCTGCTCAATATGGTTTATAGTCTGTCCCCTTATTTAATTTCTTCCTCCTCCCTCTACAGCACTTTGGAATAGTTTCTAAAGGCAAATTAATGCTGGAGGATAACAATAGGGCCACCACGCAACTCGATAAAAAGGACAGAATATATTTGTGTGTGAATGCAGAAACCAAGGGTGTTATAATGTGAAAGTTACCTGTCTTGAACCAGCATTTAAAGAAGGAACAAAGTTAATGTTTCAGGTCAATCACCTTTGATATAATGTCTGAAACATTAAAACATCAACTCAGTTTTCCTCCACAGATACTGTCTGTCCTGATGAGATTTTCCTTTTGTTTTGTTATTCCGGATTTCCAGCATCTGCAGTATTTTATTTTTGTCCAAATACAAAGAATTAATATGTACTTGTTAACAGATACAAGAGTTCTGCTCGTTAGGGGAGAGAGAAATTGGGGCAATTAAAGAGCAGGATTTTGCCATACACGTTCATTACACTGTCCTTGCTTCAGATGGTGGTCTCAATGCTTTTTTTTCTGCAGTTGCACTTTAGATGACCCCACAATGAATGCTAAACTACATAGCCTTTCCAGTAGCGAGTGGTGCCAGGCAACTAGAAGATTGCAAAATATGATCTTGCTCAAAAAAAGGGATAACACCTTTGAATGCCAATCAGCGCAACAATGATCTGGATAACAATCCAGAAAAAAATTATGGATTGAAAAGTATGGGCTAATAAATAAAAATCAGCATGCTAAAAACAAATCATGGTTGACTAACTTGAATTGAGTTCTTTGATGCAGTAGCAGAATGGGTGGATGCGAGTTGTGTGACAGTGTGCAAATGGATTTCCAAAATGATTTTCTTATATACCACATATTAGATTTAGTTAAAAATTAGATGGCAAAGCAACACAGGGTTTACATACATGCTGCATTAAAAGATAGCAGCAATTTATGGACAGAGTTGCATCAAGACACCAACAGGTTAGATTCTGCACATCCAATCATCCAGAGTTAGGGGCATTTAAACAATTATTTGAAGCAGGATGTTCTGCAAACATCGCCATCTTGAAAGACTAAACAGCCCACATACAACTGCAAAAGACAGAATAGAAATATTTGCAGCCACCTTTAGCCATTACTGCCAAGTGAATGATGATTCTTAACCTCCTGCTATGGTTCTCAACATTACAGATGCAAATCCTCATTTAATATTAGACAGGTCATTTTGTGAATAGCAGCCAGTGACGAGTCCAGTACCGAGGGACTGGTGCTTCGACTCCAGCTATTCATGACATGCATTAATGATTTAGATGAGAGAACTAAATGTAATATCTCAGTTTGCAAATGACAAAGCTGGGTGGAAAGGTGAACTGCGAGGAGGATGCAGAGACACTAGACAGTGTGATTTGGACAAGCTGAGCAATTGGGAAAATACATGAAGTATAATGTGGATAAATGTGAGGTTATCCACCTTGGTAACAAAAACAGGAAAGTACATTATCTGAATGGTGATAGATTGGAAAAGGAAGAGGTGCAATGAGACCTGGGTGTTCTTGCATCCAGCACGGATGTCTTACTGCAATTGTACAGCGCCTTGGTGAGATCACACCTGGAGTACCATGGGTAGTTTTGGTCTCCTTATCTAAGGATGGATGTTCTGGCTTATGGAGGGAGTGCAATGAAAGTTTACCAGATTGACTCCTGGGAAGGCAGAACTGACGATGAAGACAGACTGAATCAGTTAGGACCATACCCACCGGAGATTATAAGAATAGGTGAGGGGGGATCTCATAGAAATCTATAAAATTCTAAAATGACTAGATTGGACAAATGCAGAAAGTATGTTTCTGATGACTAGGGAGTCCAAGTGCAAGAGTCACAGTCAAAGGATATGGGATCAGCCTCCAATGCTTTTCACTGCCTGGCTGAGTGCAGCTCCAACCACACTCAGGAAGCCACTCAGAACAAAGCAGTTCACTAGATTTGCACTCTTTCCACCGCAAACATTCATCCCCACCACCAGTACACAGTGGCAGCAGTCTCTTCTATTCACAAAATGCACTGCAGCACTCACCAACACTCCTTTAAGGATACCATCCAAAGCCACAACCACGAATACCTTGAAGGACAATTACTGCAGATATCTAGGAACCTGCAAGCCACACATTAATCCTGATTTGAAACTAAGCAGCCATTTCTTAAAATCCAGGAACTTTCTTCCAAAAACATTGAGCATAACTACCCCAGATGAACTGCAGCAGTTCAACAAGACAACTCACTCTCACTTCTCAACAGCAATTTGGATAGGCAATAAAAGCTCGCTTTGCCATTGACGCTCATATAATGAGTGCTGTGGCCAATTCTGGGAAACACGTTTTAACCACATTTCTGCATATGGGAGAGACAGGAACAGATGGCATGACCTCAGAATAAAGGGGTCGCACAATTAAGACAGGATGAGGAGGAATTTCTTTTGAAGGTTGTGAATTTGGGGAATTCTTTACCACACAGGGATGTTGAGTCTGAATCATTAAGTATATTCTTGGCTGAGAGAAAGTAGTCATCAGTAAGGGAATGATTGGTTATGAGGAAAAGGCAGGAAAGTGGAATTGTGGATAATCAGATCATCCACAATCTCATGGAGTGGCACAGCAGACTCAATGGGCTGAATGACCTACTTCTGTTCCTATGTTTTGTTGTCATTCTTCAATAAAACCATAACTGCAATGTCTTAGGAGAGTACAGTGGAGACTTATTTGAATGCTACCATGGATACAGGGCTTTAGTTATGTTCAGAAGAAGAATTTAAATAAATCAGAATAAGTGCTACAAATTAAAAGATTTAATAAAATTATTATATTTTGGGAGGCTTCTGCAGAATTTTGAAATGACAGGCAGAGAGGGGTATACTGGATTTGCTGAAGTTTAAATGATCAAGATTTCAGAGTGACCTTTTCTATTGTCATTGCAAATGTTAAATAGCTACATCTAATGCCAAAGCACTTCTCAAAAGATAGTACCTGTCTATGAGCTAGCAAGAACTGCAGATGCTGGTGTCAGAGATAACAGTGTGGAGCTGGAGGAACACAGCGGGCCAGGCAGCATTTAGAGCAGCAGGAAAGTTGACATTTCAGGTCAGGACCCTACTTCAGAAAAATTTTTACGAAGAAGGGTCCTGGCCCAAAACATCAACTTTCCTGCTCCTCTGATGCTGCCTGGCCTGCTGTGTTCCTCCAGCTCCTCACTGTGTTATACCTGTTTATTTAATTTGAAGACCACAGCAGGCAAACAAGAAATGGATTTGAGAGAGTGCGGGCAGGAAATTGTTGAGGTTTTGGCTCAACATTGGAATCTTAAGAAAGAAAACATAAATACTGATAAAATAGGTCACATTGGCTGGGATTCAGTTGTAAATTAAGCAACTTGAATTAGAATTCCATACAGAAAACGAAGAAAAAGGAGTCAGGAACAAGAGAGGAAAAGGATGGCATCTGATGTGGTTGTCAAAGAAAAAACTGTAACTTTCCCGCCAAGTCTACCAAACCATGCTGCAGGAGAGAGATGGTCTCTGGTCAAAGAAGTGCAACGCACTGCGATTTAAGCATCCTGGGAGATCCACACAGGACTGGCCAGAAGGGAAGAAAAATCAGAGATACACAGAGTGAATTTAGAAATGCTCCAACAACTAAAGAAAGCACCTGGAGACATTCCAGGTTAATTCTAGTAAAGT